TAAGCCTGGAGGTAGGAAAAAGGCTTAGAAGGGGTTCCATATGTCAGAACCTTCCCATCCCCCAAAATGGGTGAGCGTTCTCACCGAGAAGTTGTCACAGATGCTGGTGGTATGAGAGCGGTAGGTAGCAGGGGACATACAGCAGCGGTAGTCGATATGGGCCTTCATGCTAGACGGATAGCTGCAGAACTCCAGGGTAAGGTGTGGGCTGCCAGTAGCCCGCTGCTTCCCATTTTCCCGCTCACTGCAACAGTGCAAGAGGGTATTGTTCCACTAGCATATAAACTCCATGACAATAGGTTTTGTGTTTTGATCACTGCTGAATCCTCAGCACCTAAAAACAGTGCCTGGCATATGGTAGGGACTCAATAAATAATCTTAATAGAACAAAACAGGCTCATACTAGGTCTCACCCCTTTAGCTCAACCATTTCCTCACCATTTCCGGAAAGCGTATTCTAAGTAGGAAGCTATGAAGCGGGTATGAAACTCTGCAGCATATTTGGTGTCATAAATGCCTGCTGGGAACATCTCACACAGGTCAGCAGTGAAGGTTCCCAGGTTCTCAGGCAAGTGTGCGTAGAAGTTCTGATACAGGAACACCAAGTCTATAAGGCCATTATGTAGCACCAGGGGCTGACGGGCCCAAATTAGCTCAAGGAACAGTGTCCGTACAGATTGGCTCTGGCTCTCATCACCCTAGGTGGAAAGGAAGGGGTCAGTGAGAAGGACAGAGTGCCCAGCGAGCCTATTGGCAGCATACTTATCCCAACTGGAAAGTAATCCCTCATTATTTAACCCAACATGAACACCCTTGAATGTCTCATTTCCCTAGCCTTGTCACTCGTGATTCCTCGTACTCACAAAGAATAAAATTCCTCCCAGGCATCCAGCCTATGGGAGCAAGAAATGAAGTCACAGAAGGGACAGACTGAAGGCTAGGGAACCTGGAGACTTACCTTATCATTCCCTTTATGGTAGGGGATACCCTGGGCATACTGCCGGTTGAAGTTGAAGCCATGCTGTACCAGGAACTGCACAGACTTTGGTTCTATAACATACTCCTCTGTGCACAGTAATGTGAGATTGAACACCTGGGTCAGGTAGGAATTTTCACCCTGAAAAACAAAGTGGGTCCATCCCTCACGATGTTCTCCAGGACCTCAACTAGTCTGTCCCAGGCCACAGTCCTGGGGTGAAGGTAGCTCATACCTTGTCTGGCTGCTGTTTGAAGCAGGCGAGTCCCACGGACAGGACAGAACGGGTCCTGGCAGCATGACACACGGCCTTGTAA